AGGTTTAAGTGTCGGTTAGTGTGTGTGTGTGTGTGTGTGTGTGTTTGTGTGTGTGATGGGTAGGTTTAGGTGTCGGTTAGTGTGTGTGGTGTCGGTTAGTGTGTGTGTGTGTGTGATGGGTAGGTTTAGGTGTTGGTTAGTGTGTGTGTGTGTGTGTGTGTGTGTGTGTGTGTGTGTGTGTGTGTGTGTGTGTGTGTGTGTGTGTGTGTGTGTGTTTGTGTGTGTGTGATGGGTAGGTTTAGGTGTCGGTTAGTGTGTGTGTGTGTGTGTGTGTGTGTGATGGGTAGGTTTAAGTGTCGGTTAGTGTATGTGTGTGTGTGTGAGAGTATGTGTGTGTGAGAGTATGTCTGTGTGTGTGTGTGTGTGTGTGTGTGTGTGTGTGTGTGTGTGTGTGTGTGTTTGTTTCTCTTTGTCTCTGAATAGCATCTTTATTCCAGTCACAATTAGACTGATGAGAGCTGGCTCAGTTCGGACACACACCGGAGCTCTGACCCCGATCTCGCTCTAGTGTCGCCGGCATTACCGGTAACTCCGCATCATTACACAATAAAAGCTCGTGCCATTGTGCCTCAACGCTTTACTTTACTCTCCCAGAGGAAATCTTTATTGTTTACCGTCTCATTTACTTTAGAAAGTTCTTTAGAGAGTTTTCATGAACAAACGTTCTCCTAAAAGTTCCCCAGTAAGAATACATTGAAAGTTACATTGAGAGCCATAATAAATGTCAATAGCAGCAGCGTTTGACTTCAGGAGAATATGATGAGAAATGTTCTTATTAAGCCTTTTGATTGCAGACTCAGTGTATCTTGGCAAATCTGAGCACATTTTGAGAGATTGTTGAGGTGTTTGCTGAAATGTTAGAGAAGGAACTTAAAACTCCACTTGCTCTACATTTAATCTCATTGCTATCAAAGAGAAACAGTTATTGAAGACATATTTTAGAACATTGTAAGAACATTTAAGTTTCTTCTGCTCAGCAAGGCTGCATTTATTTGATCAAAAATACAGTAAAAATTGTGTTCAAAATACAGTAAAAATAGCATTCAAAGATTTGAGGTCGATATCATTTTTTAAATGATTTTGATAGAAAAAAAGTCTGTTCTCCTCATCAAGGCTGCATTTATTTGATTAAAAATACAGTAAATACAGTAAAAATTGTGAAATATTATTACTGATTAAATCATCTGTTTTCTATGTGAATATACAGTAAAGTGTAATTTATTCCTGTGATCAAAGCTGAATTTTCAGCATCATTACTCCAGTCTTCAGTGTCACATGATCCTTCAGAAATCACTCTAATATGAGGATTTAAAGAAACATTTCTGATTATTATCAGTGCTGGAAACAGTTGAGCTGATTCATATTATTATGGTAACCTTGATTCACTAGGATTTAAAAGTTTGGGGTCAAAGTTTCAAGCAATTTAAGAACAAAAGCACGTCAACTTCAATTTAATTATGAGATAGTTAAGCCCAATAAGAGACATTTACAAGTCTCTTGTCATAATTTTGCCGCCTTAAAAACTGTTTAAAACTATTTAGCCGCTCATTTTTGTAACGAATCACTGTCCAGCTCAGAGTCACTGAAGGGGCCAATCAGAGTTCAGCTGGCTCCTGTAGCCCCGCCCCCTTTGTGGTCTATCTTTCCTATTGGTTGCATTTGAGTGCGTTTGCAGTTTCTCTCTTTGTGTTTTATAAGGTTGTACTGGATGTGATACGACACTTCACAGAAGCACATTTAGACATGCAGTCTTTCTCAACAGACGTTAGATTGTTTATGTAGATCTTTCTCAACATGACATGGTGTTTTAGTGCAATCCCCCCCTCAGAAGTGCCATTAAAACACTAATGAGAGGCTTTCAGCTCTGCTCTCCGTCAAGCTCTTCCACGGCGTCTGCTGTTTGTTAGTTCTGGTTAATCCACTCGTACGCTCCATTAATTGTCTTGAAGAAATACTCATTCATTTCATTCCGGGACGTTTCTGAAAGGCCTACACGTGTTAGCATATAAATCTAGACATTAGTGTCATGCGAGCCGTTGAATGGTTCCAGTAGATATCATGGGTTACAGAAGCTCGTTACTTTAACTCTGCGGAGCCCATGAAGACAGACGTGAGGAAACACTGGCTTTCATTTGAGGGACGTTACAGCAGTGAGTCGAGCCAGCAACACAAGTCTCTTACGCTGCAAAAATATTTATAAATAAAGATACATTTAATGAAGGAAAAAGTCTTAAGAAATGAAGTAATGATGTTTTCTGGAAAGAAAAATCTAAATTAAGTGACTTTATGCTTAAAACAATTTATGATTTTTTTTAAAATGATTTTCTTAATTTGTATTTTTGTTTCCATTACAAATATCTAAAATAATGAAAGAATAAATATGCATATAATTAAGAAGCAAAATGACTAAGATATTAAGATACGCTATTAATTCTTGCTTTTTTTCAAAAATAAACGTTTTAACTTAATTATATTATTATTATTATTATTTTTTGAATGATTTTCTTATTAAGTATTTTAGGGTTTTTTTCCATTACAAATATTTAAAAATAATTAAATAAATATGCATATAATTGAGAAGCAAAATTACTTAAGATATTTAATGCTTTCCCAAAAATATTTAGTGACTTTATGCTTAAAACAATTGTTTTTTTTTCATGTAATTTTTTTAAGACTTTCTTATTTAGTATTTTTTTTTTTTTTTTTTTCATTTAAAAATATCAAAAATAACATATAACATATAACTAAAAAGCAAAATTACTTAAGATATTAATTCTTGCCCCCCCCCCCCCCCCCAAAAAAAAAAAAAACCATTAAGCGACTTTATGCTATTCATGTAATTTTATTTTTTATTAATATTTAAGATTTTCTTATTTAGTATCTCTGATTTGTATTCCAAATAAAAAAATAATGAATGAATAAATATGCATATAATATATATATATATACTGTATATATATATATATATATATATATATATATATTAATTCTTGCTTTTCCAAAAATAAATAATACAATTAAGTGAGTTTATGCTTAAAATCAGAAAAATCGTGTTTTTCCTGAACCCGAATAATGCAAATAATTTGCATTAATTTACAAATAAGTATGCATGGCATTTGTGTTTACGTCATGATCAACATATGCTTATATCAGATGATTCATGGCACTTTTAAGACCATGAAATATTGCATATTAATTTTTTGAACGATGGCATGCTAACTCTTTTCCTTCAAACTCTGGAAACAAGTGGGATGAACGGGAAAGTTTAATGGTGCTGAACAAAAGTGCAGCGTTTCACTGGAGTCACACACCATTTGAGCCGGACAGAAGCCGTTTATCAGCAGTAATGACCGTCACACTTGAGCGTTAAATATTTCACATTAACCACATTTAATCAATCCAGAAGCGATGAGAATGTGATGTATGGCCAGATGGATGATCTGAAGTGTGTGTGGAGGGGGTTTAGTTCTTGAAAAGCTACTAAAAACATTCAGTTGTTGCAAATCATCAACAGGAAACCAGAAGGCCTCCGATCTTCCACGAAAGACGGATTATAAAAGGTCAAAAGTCTGTTTTGTGACATTTTTCCTGCACGGTTTGTCCGTCTGTGTGTGTGTGTGTGTGTGTGTGTGTGTGCTCATTGTGTCGAGACATGTGGAGGGTCTCCTGTCACTCCCCTCAGACACGGGAAACACTGACACACAATTTCAGGAAGTTTGTTTTGGCCTCGGAGGAAAGCCAGGAGTAATGCATGATATCGAGTGTGTATTTTTAGTGCACTTGGTTTGAGACAGTCAGTCAGAGCTCAACACACAGAGGTTTGATATGCAGTTATACAATTTAAAAAGAAAAGTTCCCTAAATTGTTCAGTCAGGCACTTCATATGTAGAACCTTCCATCATTTTATGGACTTTTAATTCATTTTTAATTTCTATTACAGCTAGTAAATGTACTTAACATACCTATTATATACATTTAAATAATCTATTAAAGACATCTTGTGTGAGAGAACATTGTGTTTGGTACGGTTCTCCTCTTCAAACCAAACTTGGGTCCAAGTTTAAATCAGAATTTAACAAATAAAGAAGAAAATTTCCATATGTAACCCTAAATGGTTCCTATGGACTTAGTTTTAATTAATACATTGTGTTTTAATTCATTTGTAATTTTTATTACATTCATTAAACAGCTCGTAAATGTGCTTAACATACATATTTCATCAATTTAGACAATCTATTAAACATGAAAGTATAATGCGATCATTTAATACGTTTCTCCTTGTATAGAATCTTTTGGACATAAAGAGTTCTTTAAAACTGAGTCAAAAACCCGACAGTTCTATATAGAATTCCATGAAAATGTTTTTTTTCTATTTTTTATTTGTTGCACATAAAAACATAAATGGTATTTTTAAATACCAAATTGCAAGAAAGATTTATATATATATATATATATATATATATATATATAACGGTGTGTATATATATATATATATATATATATATATATATATATATATAAAATTTCACACACTACTTTGGGGTAATACTACAAAATATTATTCCAATGTAAATCATCTGTTTTCTATGTGAATATACAGTAAAGTGTAATTTATTCCTGTGATCAAAGCTGAATTTTCAGCATCATTACTCCAGTCTTCAGTGTCACATGATCCTTCAGAAATCATTTATTTGAAATATAATTTTTTTGTGGCATTATGAATGTATTTACGGTCACCTTTGATCAATTTAATTTGTACGTTCTGAATAAAATATCAATTTCTTTATAAAAAAAAAATCTTACTGACCCCAATTTCTTGTATGGTAGTATTTATTTGAACTGTTCTGCTTTGTCATCTCTCTCTCTCTCTCTCTCTCTCTCTCTCTCTCTCTCTCTCTCTCTCTCTCTCTCTCTCTCTCTCTCTCTCTCTCTCTCTCTCTCTCTCTCTCTCTCTCTCTCTCTCTCTCTCTCTCTCTCTCTCTCTCTCTCTCTCTTTTTAGGGATCTCAGAAGTAATCTCATTAGCAGAATCGCTCCCGGTGCGTTTCATGGACTGACGGCTCTGAAGAGATTGTAAGTATATGATTATGACCTCGGGAATCCACATATGAACCCGATCAACGTGTTTTCTAGATGCTACGATGTGTCTATGAACGTTTCTACGGCCCTGTTCACACCGGGTGTTACGATGCGTTCTGCTCAATCGGATCTCAAGTGGATGACGCTAAATACAGGAGTAAAACGCTTTGAGCTCGTCCACTTCCAGAGGTATTTGGAAACACATTCGACCGGATTGCTTTCGTAGTGTAAACGCTCATGTGATCGAATGCGTTCGAACAGCCACAACAGACGCTTGCTCTCTGAATACTGGCCTAATGCATTAACATTATGGGAAGAGCGCTAGACACACAGGATTTAAACTCTCGGCTGAAGACCCAAGATTGGTTTGAAGGAGAAAAATTGGTTTATTTGGTTCATTATTGCAAATTTAGTGTATTTTCAGAGCAGAAATAAAAGCTGCTGCTCTCCGTAAACTGCAAAAAATGCTTTTCTTACTTAGTATTTTTGTCTTGTTTTCAGTCCAAATATAAAAAAAAATCTTAAATCAAGATGCATTTACTAAAGTAGTAAAATTATCTGCCAATGGGGTGAGAAATATAATCTTAATTCAAACAGAAACAGGATTAATTTTCTTACCACATTGGCAGACACTTTATTTTGATTAATTTCCCCAGAAAACAGGACTTAATATCTTATGTAATTGAGAAATGTTTGATATTTGGACTGGAAACAAGACACAAATACTAAGTAAGAAAAGCATTTTTTTGCAGTGTGTGTTTTTTTGTCGTCTCCGGTCTTGTTTATATGTAAATTGCGTGAGCTTATTTCGTCCATTAAATGGAAAGATCTAAAAGAAACATACATTTACCCGTCCGTAGACACTCTCGTCGAAGAAATCAGGACAGAAGTGTTTTAAAAGTGGACAGAAGTGTTTTAAAAGTGGACAGAAGTGTTTTAAAGGTGGACAGAAGTGTTTTAAAAGTGGACAGAAGTGTTTTAAAGGTGGACAGAAGTGTTTTAAAGGTGGACAGAAGTGTTTTAAAAGTGGACAGAAGTGTTTTAAAAGTGGACAGAAGTGTTTTAAAAGTGGACAGAAGTGTTTTAAAGGTGGACAGAAGTGTTTTAAAAGTGGACAGAAGTGTTTTAAAGGTGGACAGAAGTGTTTTAAAAGTGGACAGAAGTGTTTTAAAAGTGGACAAAAGAGGCGGATTAAAACACCAGGTGTAAACGGGAGTGTGTGTCCCTCGTCTACTGGTGATCCGATCCACCAAAACACATCTTAAACCCAGCTGTAAACAGGGACTAACACTAGAATATCTTATCATATGAGTTTAAGTCTTGTTTAATACAAATTAAGTGGGTTTTGCTTAAAAATGCCAATGGGGTCAATCTTGTTTTCCCTTTGAATTAAATACATTAAATACATCGACTGGCAGATTTTTGTTCTTGTTTTAAGCATAAACCAATTTAATTTTCATGTATTTTATCAGAAAGTTAAAAAAAGCTTCTCTAGTAAATGTATCTTGATTTAAGAATGTTTAGATATTTGTGCTGGAAAAAAAGACTGATTTATTCTAGTGTGACTGTGAAAGTTGCCCACAATTATTTCAGGTTTTATTCAAACTTTTGGTGCTTAGAAAATAGCAAAACTCTGTACGATTTGTATACTAGTAGTTTAACAAGTACTTGTAATTGTGATTGTACTGTTTAAATAGGTCATAATATGAGGGATATCATTTTCCTTCACTGTACTATGAAATACTACTGGAAGTTTCAGAGCTCTAAAGTCCAAAACAAATATTTATTGAAGCTCAACTGCAAAAATTAACTTTTTTTATGTCACACAAACAAATCCGTTAACACAAACAAGCCCCACATTCACATCCATAGTTTCCATACAGATATTTTATGCAAATTTTAAGATATTGCATAAAAAAAACAGCATCGTGAATAAAAAGGCACATTACTATGAAGACATGCTCATAAACTACGAAGGAAACATTTATTCCTGAACGCTTCGAGTCATGTGACTGAATCATTTACTCGTATGTTTGGCTATTACTGTAAAGTTTGTCCGAGCGCATTCTCTCTAAACCGCTAGTCATAATTACATTTATTTGGATTCATTCGACAAGAAATGGAAATCAATTTGCATAAAAATGTGTAAAAAAAGTCACTTTAGTGAAAAGAAATGAAAATTTCCTGATAATTTACTTTTTATCCACAGTTGTTGGTCTTGTTATGGTCTGCGACGCGCCATGCATTACGACATCACGTTGTAAGGTCACGCTGGACGTAGGCGTAAGCACCGCCCCATTGTTTACAAGCGTGGAGAAGGAGGATCCAATTTTATTGTATGTTGAATGACATATTTATGTCTTTGTGTCAGTTTATTGTTTAAAACGGTCCTTTCGTGTGCGTATCCTGGATGTTTAAAACAATAGGGCGGTGTTTCCGCCTACGTCCAGCGTGACCTTTCCAACATGATGACGTAATGCCTGGCGCATCGCAGACCAGCACAAGACCAACAACTGTGGTTAAAAAGTATATAAATGACCGATGGTTTCACTAGATAAGACCCTGTTCCTCAGCTGGGGTCGTGCTCAGCCCTTTGAAACTGCATTGATTTGGACTTCAACAATTTGGTTACCGTTGAAGTCCATTGTGTGGAGAAAAATCCTGTAATGTTTCCTCAAAAAATTTAATTTCTGTTCCACTGAAGAAAGAAAGACATGAACATCTCGGATGGCATTTGCGTGAGTAAATTATCAGGAAATTTTCATTTTGAGGTGAACTACTCCTTTAAGAAAGTTACTTCTGAATGTTCTCTAAACGTTTAAAACAACGCCGAGAACATCAAGGGAACATTTCATTTGATCATTTTGGAATGTTACTTTTGAATAATCTCCGAAGATTCCGAAACCAGTCGCAACATTTAAAAAACGTCCAACTGAAAGTTTCAGATAAAACCATTCCATCAACGATGCTTTAAGAACATTATTAAAGACTACTTTTACTGGAAGAACGTTTGTTTGAAACTTTAGCTAAAGTTCTGTGTTTTTAAGCTTTCAGTGTTCTTAAACTTTTACATTTGATCCCCGTTTGTGAATATTAGGTCACATCTTTGCGTAACACCCTTCAGAATCAGAGCTGAAGTCGATCTGAAGGTTCATTCAGTCCTGAAGAGGCTTTCAGCGTGTCGACGCACAGATGTGGCAGCAGAAACGGGAGCCGTGTGGACGCTTTAATGTGACAATGATTGGTGGATTTGAGCGGCTGATTGTGGATGTGTGTGTGCCAGCGTTCTGTACGCGTATAATTTAAACGGCCGTTCTAATTTAAGAGCTCGCAACCGATGATTACAGCGCAGAACTGAACCGCTCCCACTGCACCACAGCAGTGTATGTTTCTCATTACAGCGGGCATGAAACCACACACACATGCACAGCACACACACCTGGAGATCCAAACACACACACACACACACACACGAGACATAAAATCACTGAGCTGCCGAGTTACGCTTCACGTATACTCATTGAATGGACGGTTTGTTGGCTGCGGTTGCCAGACGTTCAGGATCTGCGCCGCTCGTGGGTTCAGTCTCACGCAGGAGTAATTGGCGAGTTACTAAGATTAGAGTCGGCTCCTAAAACACTTATCCCTTATTCTCCTCAAGGGTCCCGTTTCCCGCCCCTCAGATGAAATGTTCCTTATAAATTCGTTTATGGATGCAGAAAGCAGTTGCTCTTTCATTGCTCGAGTGCTTTTAAAGGAATAATGCAATAATGCAAATAATTTTTAAGCATGCATGGCATTTGTGTTTACGGCATGATCAACATATGCATGCATCAGATTTTCAGCACTTTTAAGACCGTATGAATTGTTTGAAAGATGGGATGCAAACTCTTTTCCTTCAAACTCTGGAAACAACTGGGATGAACGGAAAAGTTGAACTCAGTCTCAGATGTTTCTCCCACTAATTTAACAGGAGAAATAAAAATACAGAAAGTAGTCAATAGTTCATATAGTCAGATGATAGTCAGATCATATGTTATGTTATATAATGTTTATGCTCACACATTCACAGATATGCATATATTCACAGTCCAGTTTGAAGGTTTTGACACTGGTGTTTGATGTCAGATTATTTATCTCATTTATGTGTGTGTGTGTGTGTGTGTGTGTGTGTGTGTGTGTGTGTGTGTGTGTGTGTTTCTCAGGGATCTTTCCAACAACAGGATTGGCTGCTTCTCTCCTGATATGTTTCTTGACCTTGGCCGTCTCTCCAAACTGTGAGTTTAGTCTCTCTCTCTCTGTATATGTATCTTAATGTATCTCTCTCTCTCTCTCTCTCTCTCTCTCTCTCTCTCTCTCTCTCTCTCTCTCTCTCTCTCTCTCTTTAGCACTGGGAGCCGTTTATCACTAATAATTGATGTTCTAGTTGTGTTTTAATGCTTTTGAAATGTCAGCTGGGTTTGTGTGTCTTTCAGGAATCTGTCTGGGAATATTTTCTCCACACTGCCGGAGGGGCTTTTCACACACACACCTTCCCTGCGAGCGCTGTAAGATATGCACACTATATTTGTGCATGTAAATCTGTTAAAATGGGTCATGATTTGAGGAGTACAATCCTTCACTGTACTATGAAAAACTACTGTTTTAGAGCTCAACACTTTCTTCCCAGTCCAAGACAAACATTTACTGAAGCTAAACTGCAAAAAATGAGTTCACATCCACATATTTCAATGCAAATGTTGAGATGGTGCATTAAAACTCCCCCATAAAGATATGAATAAAAATGCACATTACTTAGACGACTTTCTTTTTCATTTGATTAGAAGACAGAGTTTGTCAAAGTCATTTATTACGTTTATTTTGTTTAATTTATCCGTTTTTATTCTCTGGAACACATGAACGCTGCTTTATTCGTAAATATTATGGAGTTTTTGCATAAATTACATTTGCAACTTTGATGCAAAAAGTGATCAGAAAGTTGCTCAAAGTAATGCAGATGTTTTGCAGAATGCTATTATTATTAAACCGCAACTAATGAGTGTAAAACTCTACACAAAAACTTGATTAACACCATATTTGGATGATTTTAAATGTATGATATGACCTTTTCATTGTGTAATAACGTGGTAAAGCAGCTTCACATTAAGTTGTTAACCCTTTAGCTGTCACCCCCCTTTTTGAGAATTGATGTGAAAATGCACTACCCAAACTTAAACGGTTGTAATTCATGAAGCCTTTGTACTAAAGACTTGCGGTTGGTCTCTTTTAAAAGAAGACTCTTGGCAGATTATTGCTGAAGTGGAATAAATTAATAGAATTAAATTATTTAAAAGTTATTGAAGTTTAAGTTTATTGTTATGAAAATATTATAAAATATGTATTTTTCTTTTATTAAAAATATATATAAATTAATATAGGTTTCAGCCTAAAAATGACAGAAAGTCAAAGCCATATATCTAACCAAGTTGTGTTCCAAATTTGAAGTTGATATCACAAACATTGAAGTTCCCATGAGATTTTGTTTAGGCGTAATACCAAAAATACCCACCGGGTGCAATTGCATTCCATTGAATTTAATTGTATGCATTCTGCCATAACAAATTAATAAATTTCTATCCAAATATCACTTCTGTCACTAAATATGGAACCTTGAGACTCAGACCTTTCTGACAATATGTGTTTTGTCAAGATTAGAACATTTTTGATAATAAATTATGAAAGATGATGCCCAAAAGGGGAGGGGCCTAATAAAAAAAATACTGTTTCTATGGTAACGCAACGTCCAATTTCAAAACGGTTTTCACAGGATGAATTCTGAGTTCGTAAGCTTTCAAATGATACCTAATTTATGATAACTACTAAAATATGTGATATAATAATAAATAAAAAAAAATATATATATATAATAATTATTATACTTTTTAGAGGACTTTTTACTTTACTTTTTAAAATATAATTTTATCTTTTTTTATTGACAAATACTAGATTATGTTTTATTATGAACTTTTAGCATTAAAAAACAAGTTTCAATTATTAAAAGTGTGTGCGTCAACTTTTTGTGACAAAGGTCAGAAACTCCTGTAATGACGTAGATTTTTTGAGGCGCACTCTTGTCATAAATTCATATATTACTATTCATATATAATTTGTAAGAAAAAAACAGCGCTAAAATATCTATTAAGGAGTCTTAGACCTTTCCAACGATATATAGTTTGTCATGACTAGATTAGGATTTAATAGTAATATAGTGAAGTAAATTTAGGTTGCCCGTATACGGGCAGGTGACAGTTAAGTTGTTAATATGTTAATGTTATAAAATGAATCGTAACAACGATGTATTAACTAACATTAACAATGAGCAATACATTTGTTACAGTGTTTGTTATTCTTTGTTAATATTAGTTAATAAAAATCCAGCTGTTCATTGTTTGTTCATGTTAGTTCACAGTGCATTAACTAATGTGAACAAATACAACTTTTGATTTTAATAACGTATTAGTAAATGTTGAAATTAATATTACCTAAGATTAATAAATGCTGTAGAAGTATTGTTCATTCTTAGCTCATGCTAACTAATGAACCTTACCAATTCATCAATTATGAAACAAATTCAATTTCATCTGTAAAGCAGCTCTAAAAAGACAATAGTGTCATTATTCAGATCAATTCAGTTCAATAACTGTGTCATTGTTGCAAAGTCAGTGTTGTTATTGCATTAAAGTGATACTGTTAGTGAATCTGATGTGTTTGCAGGAGCGTGGGCACGGACTCTCTGTTCTGTGATTGCCAGCTTCAGTGGCTGCTGTCGTGGGTCAGGGTTCAGTCCGTGCGTGTGGCCAACGAATCCGTGTGTGTGTATCCGAGCCGTCTTCGTGGACTGGAGCTCCTCAGCCTTCAGGAACACCAGCTCACCTGCGGTAACACACACACAATATTACTCTACAACACTAACATAATATAAACAGCTGCGTTTTATTATCAAGAATGATCCGGAAGTTTGTAAGAATGAATTATGCCTGCATTATTATGGCATGCGATTCACTAAAGGAATTATGCACAAACACGCCCATCTAATTCGATTCATAATAAGCCTCATTTGCATAGCTTGCATTTGCATAGAAGTTTGTACATTTACATTACATTTAGATCCAACTCTAAAATCTTATTGCCAGTTAAAGCAAATACTGATGCATCTCCTCTGAAGCGAAGACAATGTTATATGGACTGCAACTAATGAATAAAATTAAATTATAACTAATTAAAAGCAGTTATTTAAATTTTACAGTTGCAAACCTTTTTTTTTCCACATTTTGCATTTTTAGAATTAACAATATATATTATTATTGCACAAACATTTTTATTAGTAAGAATGTATAGCGTAAGATGAATCATACACACTTCGCAAAAAATTCCCAATTCAATTCACAATAAGCATAATTTGCATAGCTGAAGTTTGCATAGTTTAAACTTTAAAGTATATGTAGACTGCAACAGAAAGATTTATTTTTATAAATAAAATAAATAAGTATTTATTTTAATTTTACCTTTATTTTTTCACATTTTGCATTTTTAGAATAATACAAATATATATATATATATATATTATTGTACAAACATGCCCACTTTTTTTGTAAGAATGCATCGAGTAAGAATGAATTATGCATGTGTTATTTTAGCTCATTTGCATATCTGGTCATTTGCATTGATGAATGGACAAAAATGCAATGTAAGAAAACACTTCCAACTCTAAGATATTTTTGGATGAACCTTGTGCATAGTCATTGTAAAATATAATATACTGTATACAGCCAACTATACAGGTGAAACTCGAAAAATTATAATATCGTGCAAAAGTTCATTTATTTCAGTAATTCAACTTAAAAGGTGAAACTAATATATTATATAGACTCATTACATGCAAAGTGAGATATTTCAAGCCTTTATTTGTTATAATTATGATGATTATGGATTACAGCTTATGAAAACCTTTTCACTATACAGGGCTCAACATAAAAAAAAATCCCCACTGGCGCCTGGGGCCAGTAGATCAGAGTTTTGGTGGCCCCTTATATATTTTTACTGGCCCTGAAAGAAATATAAGGAAAAGCACTTTTCCATTAAACTGTAGGCATATTTATTGTATACATTAGGATTAATCAATACAGCAAAGGGAGTACAGGAATTAAGAGAGAGCCCCTGTATGCAAAAATAACCAAATGTCAGCCTGCAGTAGATTATTTGTCAATACCTGCTCTCTCCTCATCTCCATCACTCTTTCTTTTTTTTCTCAGTCTCCTCATCTTACTTATGCTTATTAAAGCTAAAGTTATTCATTCAAGAGCTGATTTTCTTTTTGCCTTTTGTTGTTTAATTCTCAGTAATGGCGCAATCCTCAGCATGTTTATTAGACTGGTTCCCCTTTAAGAACGAGTGCAGATCTAATAGTCTACTGATGCACCATATTTTCTCCCAAATATTTCCATAACTACGTCCATTTTAGACATAAACTGTTTAAGTGAATCTCCAAGGCGGTCATTTTGACATATTTTTGTGTATATTTGATCGTTTAGACGCGCACATGAAGCCCAATGTGTAATTTGCTTGTCTCGTTACGGTATGTTTCGGAGCGCGCGCCGCATTTGGAACATCATCTCTTGCGCAGATTTTTGTGCTTTTAATAGCTCTTTTTATTATTAAACGCGTCCCCCAATTTAGCAACAGTAGAGACTGCATTTTACAACAATCACCGATCGTGCTGATTCTGTCTTAAAGTTTTAGTTTTAAGGTGAAATGGCAGCGTACTGCGATGGGAAGGAAGTTGCGCTTGACAGAATGCGGCTATAGTTTTTAATGGTTTTACCTCAAATATTCTATAATCTTTGGAAGCCGAAATCTAAAATAAAATCAGAGTAATATCACAGATCTAAAGTGTGCTACGTTTGAATGTTTAGTTCTGTCCTCTGCTCTGTGGTCACTCATTAAGCTGGGCTGTCGTGCTGTGCGCACTGTGGGCACCGCCTGAGAGATCTCTCTCTATCTGGACTGCGAATAGCAAAAATGCATCACAGACTAATGGTTTAATATTAATATATCCATAAATGGCTGGTGACTCAGCGAGATGGTAAAAAAACAACCAATAACGTCTGATCACCCCGCCTACGTGTATTTCTCCAGTACCGACAGCAGAGCCAATAACGTCCAAGCTTATCGATACAACGGTCTTTCAAAATTCAGCCCCGGGCTCGTTTAATACCGGGTTTCGGTACCCATCCCTACCAGTGTAGGCCCTACTGTGTTTTCCATGACACTGGGAATGTCCTCTTTCTCGTATCAGCCTCGTAGTTCTTTGACATTTTAACACGTTAAAATAACCTGAAGTAACACTAATGGTGTGTTCACACCGAACGCGAATTTAATTATTTGCGCGAGTAGGTTACATACAAAGTCAATGCAAAGACTCGAATAGACGCATCATTTGCGCCGGGCGTTGCGAATGGCGCGAATATCTTCCGCGCAAGTTGAAAAATTTGAACTCGAGCGAATGTTCAAGCGTCTAACTAGACGCGATAGACGCGTATTTGACGCTCTATTCGCGTTCGGTGTGAACACACCATAACACTCTTCGCGCCACTGTGTATGACGTTTGCTGTTTGTTTTGCTGATGGCCAGTCACTGGCCCGCGCGGGCCAGTGACTGGCCAATCAACTTGCCCGACATACTCTTTTACTGGCCCCGGCCGGTCACCGTGATTTTGCCAAGTAAGACATGGTCCTGGATCAACATTCCTGTCCCAAAATGTAGTCCTTACCCAATCCCTACCCCTAAACCTAACCCTACCCATAACTTTTCCCTAAAATCAGAGGGTAATGAAAGGTTAATGACACTGATGTTTAAGTACTTCACTCGGTTCTAAGCCTAAACTTGACATAAACTGTAAACTTGTCCCTCAAATCTGATTGGTTGATTGGAAAGTTGGTCCAGGATCAACAAAGATGTTGATCCAGGAACATGTGGTACTTGGTGAAATCACGTTCACCAGCCGGGCAATCGGGCCATTGCTTATGTCGAGCCCTGCACTATATTCTAAATTTGAATTTGGGATTTTCATACACACACACACACACACACACACACACACAGACACACAATCACTAAATTTAATTTGTGCTGTTCACTTGACATTAAGTCCAGAAATGAGCCAGATTGTGTCACAAGGTATTATAAAACGACAAGATATTTGAAGAAAAACATCATCTAATTTCTGCGTTCGTCGAACTGTCTGACTATTGTAATCCAGTTGAGTCGGTCAGATGGTGACTCAGTCTGAGTCATGAGGGATTTGAGCTGGGTAAACAGAGACGGTCATTATAAACATTATAAAGTTAGTTGTGGAGAGGGTTGTTCCAGCAGGAGAGGTTCATCTGATCAAGATGAGGATATATATATATATATTTTGTGGTGTTAAAGTAAGTCCCCCTGTAGTCAATTTTATCTCTTAAAACTCATCTTTGATCAACAAAATGGCATATTAAAATGTTTTTTCCTTCTTCATACCTTAAAATATCTTGAATGTAACTCGACACCCTTGCTCATTTAGTATGCGCGGTTCTATGAATATGCAAATGATACCCGCCCTCACTCACTCACTTATGAACTTACACATGGTGTGTCTTAAAGCGTATTAAAAACACCACATAGACACATAAACAACATTAAACGCTGGAGTTTCACCACAGGGGGACTTTAATAAGATTTTAAATTGACTTGAAATGTGAAGTTGTAGTTGACAGCTTGGATATTTGTGTTATCTCAAGTTATTATACAAAAGAAAACATTTTCTAAATAGTTTTAGGTATGATATATCGGCCATCATATCGGTATCGGCTGATATACGTTCATTTTTAATGTTATCGTTATCGGCCCGATAAGAAAATTTGGCCGATATATTAAAGCTGATAAATAATGTATTATTTCCTTCAGATGAGACTCTTCAGATGCGCACTGTTCAACATGATGGTTTTGAATTGCTTGAAATATGATTGTAGTCACTTAAAAAAAAGAAAATACTGTTCAGTGCAACAAGTCTGTCATATCGGCTACAAAAAAATATAATAAGAACATTATAATTGTGCACTTGAAACATGGATTTTAATGTTGAGAATTTTTTTGTAATCAGGCTCTCAAAAATTATGTAAAAATTTGGATTTAGATTTATCTGCCAATATATCGGTTATCGGCTTTCAAATAAAAAGAATTATCGGTTATCGGTATCGGCCAAATTTTTCATATCGGTGCATTTTGGGTATTTATAATTTTATGCAACTTTTATGGATGTTTATGGAATTTAATTTGACAGGGTTTTAGGATTAGTAATAAATGATGTATAAATCTATATACAGTATATACATGCAAATATTTCTTAAATATATACATTCGTGGATACACTTTCAAAGTGGATACATTTGAAACGTCCCGGGTTACGCATGTAACCCTAGTTCCCCGAAGGGACGGACGCTGCGTGTAATCGCAGTGGGAACGCCCTCAGCGTGACGCGTCTGAAGCATGAATGAAATCAGTCAATGGAGAGAATGAGCGTACGGCGAGTGACGTCATCGACCAGGAAGCTATAAATATCCCCTGAGCACACAATACGCCAGCTTAAAAGTTACTGAAGCAGCGACCCAAGGGGATGCCGAGAGTATGGCAGGACACGCAGCGTCCGTCCCTTCGGGGAACTAGGGTTACATACGTAACCCGGGACGTTCCCCTTCAGGGACTACCGCTGCGTGTAATCGCAGTGGGAACGCAATACCCACATCCCCATACGACCAAATCCCCGTCGTGTGTCATTAGGAGACACAAACCAACGAGAGAACCTGAGCCCTGGGAGTGGAGCTAAGATCGAGGGAATAAAATC